CTTGTGTCTCTCGGTTATGTGAAAGGGCATCCAAAGCTCTCGTGTGTCTGGTGGAATGGGAAGATTTGCTGAGAGAGAGAGAGAGAGAGCCAGCAGGCTGTCAAGGAGTCCTAGGGCCAGGGTGACAAAACACAGAGTTGGTTACTGTTCCAACCAAATTCCTGAGGAAAATAATTCTGCATCTCTGAAAAATCAGCTAGGCCAAATATCTAAGCTGGGTTCCATTATAACCTGAGACTTTTCATCATTGACGAGACACCGTATGCCATTAGTGCCAGGATAGTCTTGATAGTTACATCTGGAGAAAATGCCAGGACAGAATCACTTGGAGCCAGAACAGGAAGCAGTCTTTCCCTTCCTACCCCTGCTCACAGTTCCATAAGCTCCCTGGAACTTAGAATTGACTTCAGAGATGATATGGTAAAAGAGAAATAAAATAGAAAATTTAAACCTCTTCGTGGTGAATGTTTAATCTTTAAGTTTAAGGTTAATTTATTGAACTGAATTAACCTTAAATGTACTAGACAATGGTTTCTATTACAATGTTAAATCATGAGAAAATAAAATAAACACATGAATATATGTTTTGAAAATAATAGAACTGCCTATGTCAAATGTGTAACATATATTCTTTAACCACCAAATTCCACTTGAAGAAATTTTCCCTGAGAAGATAAACAGCTATAAAAAAAAGAGATATGTGTGCTAGGTTGTTCATTACAGTATTATTTATGATAAGAAAAGCGTGGAGGGAAACAAGATATCCATCAATGAAAGACTAGTTTTGTTTAAACCATAATTCACATATACAACAATATGTAATGCAGTGATTTAAAATAATGATGCAGGCCGGGTTTGGTGGCTCAGCCTGTAATCCCAGTACTTTGGGAGGATGAGGTGAGTGGATTGCCTGAGCCCGCAGGTTCAAGACCCACCTGGGCAACTTGGCGAGACCTCGTCTCTACAATAAATCAAACACTAGCTACTGGGAAGGCTGGGGCAGAAGGATCGCCAGAGCCCAGCAGGTCGAGTCTGCGGTGGCCAAGAGCGTGCCACTGCACTCCATTCTGGGCGACGGAGTGAGACTTCAACTCAAAAAAAAAACGATGCAGATATATATATTTATATATGTAGAACAATGTCACCATATGACACTGATTTAAAAGGAGGCAAAATTACATTGAGATACCATCTTAACTCCAGTAAAAATGACCATCATTAATTAAACAAAAAACAGCAGATGCTGGCGAGGATGCAGAGAAAAGGGAATGCTTCTATACTGTTGGTGGGAATGCAAACTAGTTCAGCCTCCATGGGAAACAATGTGACAATTCATAAAAGAACTAAAAATTGACCTTCCATATAACCCAGCAATCCTCCTTCTGGGAATATGCCCAGAGGAATTTAAGTCACTCTACAAAAAAGATACCTGCATACACATACTTATTGCATGTTTATTGCAATAACAAAAACATGGAACCAGCCATGCTGCCCATGGAAACTGGACTGAATTTTTTAAAATGTGGCACATATACACAATGGAACATTATTCAGTCATAAAGAACAAAATTATGGACCTCACAGCAACTAGGATGGGCTTAGGGTCTATAATGCTCAGTGATTTATCACAGAAACAAAGAACTGAGTACCACATGTTTTCACTCATAAGCAGACCTTGAACATTTACCATAATACTATAAGAAAGGGATTGGCAGTAGCCAAAAACTGCCAGGGGATGGGGGCACATTAATAAGGGTCCCTGATCTCAAACCAGGCAAAGTATACCCGCTTGATCCTAATCTAGGGTTAATTCTCTATTATGTCCTAGATATTTTTATCAGCATCTTTGCTAACAGTGTCACTGTGACCTTCATCAGATAATTCCCCATTTCTTCACATTTACCAGCAGCAAGGATTTCATCCTGCAGGAAATAGAGCAAGGGGTGAAGAAGCCACCTGATTTGAGAGGACATTTTTCAACACCTAAAATGACCCCATGTACAATTATAAAATTCCAGATCATGGTTCTCACAGCCCACACTCAACTGGTGACATCCCCTAAGTTCTTTTCTTGGATATTTTTTCTTTCCATTTTAACTACTTGACTTGGATGGTCTTATTTATGATGTGTCTTAAGTAGACATTCCCAGAAATAGACCCTGAGATGAGAATTTATGCTCCAGTGATTCATTAAAGAAGTGTTTCCCAGGGAGACTAGTAGGGAGTAAGTGAGTCAGGGAATAAGAACAAACCAAGCAATGGTGAAATTTTGGATAAAGTCCTGGGGGGCAAATTACACCTCACAGTTTGCTCTGAGACAAGAGATCTGAGCTCTCATCCTGTACCACTTGCTCGTTGGCTAACATCTGCTTGGGCTAAAATAACCAGACACTTTCAACTCTCTGTACCTGTAAACAAAGCAGTCAACATACATGAGGGCATCCCTCACAACCATTAGACATAAAACCGTAAGGAACCAAGGTTAAGGATGCAGTCTAAAGTACAAAATGCGTCCCGGGGTTTTTTTTTGAAAAGTGCCAGTGTTCACTATACACCCACAGCTTTGACCAGCATGACAAATTCCAAATCTGTATCATCACCACAAACATCTCCCTTGAATTCCAGACCCATATACCTGACTGCCTTTTTGGCCCCTCCCTCATCAACCAGGCTCCCCAAACACACTTGGCCCAAAATTAAGTTCAACTCCTCTATCCTCGTTTACTGCTTTTCTCATTGAACATCACCTTTATACCTGCTGTGAGCCAACTCAGAAAATTCAATTTACTTTGCCAGATACTCATCCTTTAATTCAATGAGTCCTTTTAATTTTACCTATTCAATATCACCCTAATCTATTCCCTGACTCTCATAGCTTAGTTCTGAGTTGATCCCTCTTCAGTGTTTCCTAACTATGCTTTGTGCACCTCAATGAATATCTTCCATCACACTCCTCTAGATTATCCCTCTAAATTTATATCTTATCTTACTACTCTTGCTTAAAACCTTTCCATGGCTTCTCAGTTAGCAGGTCACAAAACTAAGTACTTGCATTTCAAATTATAGCCATCATGCTCCAGCTCCCATCTACTTATCCAGCATCAGCTACCCTTGCAATCCTAATCTCAAGACACTTAACTATTTGCAGTTTTCCAAAGCTGTCTTGTTCTCTTACACTTCAGTAGCCTATGTACCCTCGTGGTAATACCTATTTATGTACATATTATTAAACAATTAGATCTTGATGAGAAAAAAATATCTTCTTCTTCCTGGGCCTACTTAATACATTGTCTGATGTGATGTTCTAATTCTTGTCATTTTTTTTTCCAAATTCTGGCGGTTTATCCATGATCATCAGAGACTATACTGCTATGTTAAATACCAGTATTACAAGGATAATAAGGTTGGTCCTCTGCTTATAGTCTATTAGGAAGTATTTTCCTATTCAGTTGATTCTAATAGTGAATTAAAAATACAAACTGTGTGCTGTGAGTTTCAAAAGGGACATTTGACCAAATCTATGGGTTTAGAGGAGGCTTGAGGTAGAAAACGATGTCTGAGCAGAATTTCAAAGGACAGATAAAGGTTATCCAGGAAAAGAAATTTGGCTTCTTCAGGTGTTTCAATTTCATCTTAAAGTCAGCAGTATTATCAACCAACTGTGTCTTGGCCTTAAACGTCACCAGAGATTGGCAGTGATGAGAAACTGCCGTGGGGGGTGGGGGAGCACACCTCATCAACAAGGGTACTTGCATAATGAACATTTGTATACCTAACCCTGAATTGTACCCCACATATTTAAAATAAAAAAATTTTTTTAAGAAAAAATAATGTCACCAAAGAAACAATCAGCAAACTTGGGACAAGGCAGTAAAATGATAGACCTTCCTTACCAGAAGTCTAGGTGATTTTATCACTTTGGTTGCATTGTTTCTGAGTCTCGGTGAAGTTAAACACCAAGCAGGTCTAAGAAAATACTTAATAGGTTCTTCTTAATGTAAATATTCTCAGGAATGAATTTATTCCTACCCGTTCTAGATTTTACTGGGATTGAGTGGATAGAAGACGAATCTTATATAAATGATTTTCCATTGCCTTTTTAAAGGTATCACCAGAGTCCAAAATGTTTGCAAGTTTTTAAAAAAAACATTATTGCAATAGGGTAAATTTTTATTATTATATATGGAAGCTAATCATTTCAGAGTAAACAACAGATGTTTGCACCCTTATTAATGTTTGGTACTGACATCAGTATTAAATGATATATGAAAACATGTCACAGACATGAATGATGAATTCAAATGTCAGAAATGGTGGAAAGAAATGTTTAAAATAGAACATTTCAGGGTCTTAGATGAGAAGTAAAACTATGAGCACCTTCTTCAGGCAATGTGCAATACGACTTTTCCACATAATAATAATAATATGCTGGACAATTCTAAGGCATATTTTTCTTCAAAACTTGTTACTGAAGCATAGGTGATTAAGATGTTCAGTTGATTGAGTAATGGCATCTGGCGAAGACCTCAGCTGTATCAAAAATAGTAAACATTAGATATTATGAATATAGATAAAAAAACAGATGAATTGATAGATAAATGCTTTTATGTGACATAATATATTTTCCAGACATTATTTGGCATGTTTCTAGAAACCTGTTTCTATATTTTAGATATTAGTTGGTTTACCTTAAATGCAGTTGTAAATGATATAGTTAATTTAAATTATCACTATCATTCAATGTTTTCTGAGGCAGAATCTGATTATGATAAGGCATATACCCATCAAAATGGGTAGTTTTCGACCAAGAAAAGTTACTACAAATTGTTTTATTTGTATAGTTGAAAATAATTTGATACATTCACTAAATTAAGTGTTCTATGTCTTTTTTTCAACCAAGAACGGTTGCTACAAATTATTTTATTTGTATAGTTGAAAGTAATTTGATATATTCACTAAATTAAGTGTTCTATGTCTTTTCCCCCCATTATTAGCTAAAAATGAGACTTTAACGCCTTCAGAAGATTGAGGAAATGAGACGCTAACATCTTTACCACTAAAACAAGGGTTCTGTCTCCTCTGACTGGAACACAGGCTCTGCGACAGTAGGTATCTTGTCTGTCACGATGATTGCTGTGTATTTTCAGTGCCTACTATACTAAGGATTGTACCAAGGAAGATATACAATATGCATTTCTCGAATGAATGAAGATATACAATATGCATTTCTTGAATGAATGAAGATATACAATATGCATTTCTTGAATGACAGTAATGAAAGCATTCAGAGTTTTTAGGTTTTCTTTAAAATTATATCACCTTGAGTACAGTTTTTAAACGGTCAAGATATGAAGGGTACTCCCTAAAAACAGAAAAACACTGGCAAACCATTTCCCTTTGAGGAATTTTTCTTCAGGGGAAACAAAAAAGTCAGACCTGATGAATAGGGAGTATGGGACACAGCGGTCATGTCATTTTTGGTCAAAAACTGCTGAACACTCGGCCTGGTGTGGGCAAGTGTTCTCGTCAATCACTTATCATGAAATGGGCAAACACCTTGAAAGAATCTCAAAAAAAAAAAAAAATTCACTGAGACTGAACACAGCTTCTCACAACAATACTGATTCATACACTGATGCCGTTGAGTCCCTAGAAGACTTACCTTGTGGGGGAAACGTGTATTACAAGGCACCTGCCTGCCAAAATATAATTCTGGTTTTTTGGGGGGGCCTCCCTCATGTATTGGAAGTACATTGCAATTTATAAATATTATGTCTGTCTATAATAATATTTGAAAAAAATAACAGTTTTAATAAAAGGGCCATCAAAGTAAGTTGTGCTCACATTCATTTTTGTTCTCCACAGCAAAGTAAACAGACACTGGGTATAGCCTCCTGCTGACCACAGGAAAAATCCAGAGAGAAAGTTAGCCCCATCCTCTCCTCCACCACCATTGATTGTTGGGCCAGAATTCTTTAAAGTAGCTGTGTGAAGCCAGAATTGTTTATTTCCCAAGGTAATAGGGAAGATGAAGTGACTTAACTCTGCAGTGTAGAGGAATTATTGCTGCTGGATGGAAGGACACGACTCTTACCAAGAAAAATGAGGCCAAGGTCTAAGACTTGGTTTCTCCTAGCAGTGAGAAATCAAGTCTTAGACCTTGACTTCATTTTTCTTGGTAAGAAAATGAGTTAACCAGTTAATGTCAGTTTCTTCACAGACTTTGGACTCTGCCCTTAAGCTAAAAATACATGTCCTTGGTTATCACAGAAATGGCATAAAATAAAGTGACTGAATCTTTTCACTTCTATAGCTAACATAGATGTGAATAATGTGATTTCTAGAAAGAAAGAGCACAAGGTTTGAATCTCAGTTTTAACTCTTACAAACTCGGCGACCTTGGAGAGGTTACATAACTTTGTTACTCCTCTGTATCACCGATGAACAGGTAATATGGTCATCTTTTCCATTAGTGAGGTGGTTGTAAGAATAGTCAATACACAGGATCCCTAGGTGATGGAGCAGAATAGAATATGATAATCTCTGCCCAACCATAAAGAGCCTCATGGAGAAAGGAGTAAACTTTCCTCCTTCCACATCTCTCACTTTGAGACTATTAAAATAAGTGAGGACAACTTTCACTTGTAGGAAATGAACAGCAAAAGAAGCTAACATATACTCTTTCCCTTCTGTGTGTGATGCACTTGCCACATAGCTCTTAATGTAATCCTTACAACAAATCTAAAAGGTCCATGTTATTTTCCTAATTTCACACACAAGAATATGAGGTCATGAGAGGTCAAGGAACTTGCCAAGCTTGCAGCTCTGGTAAGTTGCAAAGCTGGGGCTCAATCTCGGGTCTCAGCCCGTGTTTATATTGTTTGAAAGATGGCCTGAGGCAGCCCATGGTCATGTGCCTCTTTAACAGGGTCCTACCCACCCATACACCATCCCAGCTAATGAGCTAAAACATTTGGCAACTATTAGAATAGAACAATGAATCCACGTCCCTTCTCTACTCCACAGCTCCAAAAATAGTTTGAGGAACAAAAGCTCGATGGAAGAAGGCAATAATTACCTAAATCAGGGCTTCTGTAAAGTAACATACCCACAAATCACCTGGGATGGTCTGCAGATGTGCAGGTTCTGGTTCAAGGGAGCTGAAATGGCCCACCACAATCATGTTTCTAACAGTTCTCCGTGATTCTCATGCTGCTAGCCCTGGAACTATGCTCTAAGTAGCAATAACAGATTATCTAGGTGTGAAAAACAGAAATCAGCTTTATTCAATGCCTGTTTGTAGTGGCAGGCAATGGTTTGATCTAATAATACTTTCTTTTTTTGAGTAGCAAGTCTCCACATCCTTCTTAAATAAGTTTTCTTTTCTACATCAACTGATTTATCTAATTGGTGCAACAGAATCTCTCACCAGTGGGAATTGAAACAAGAAAAAACCTGCAAAAGTATAAGAGTGAGGAAGCGGTATATCATGATTTATTAAGATATAAGTAAGGGCATCTAAATACATTAGCCTCTTCAAAATAAATTTAATTGGTCTTATTATTACCACACCTCTTTTAGCTACAGCATCTGACTCAGCCTTTCTCTTATAGAAAACCCATACCACAAGGCGAGGGATAAGTTACATGTAGGAAAAAAAATAAAACTATCTTTCCTCTCAAGTCCCCAAACTGCTATACGATAGAATAGTCTAGGCAACTTTAAAAGAAAAAAAAATACACGTACGGAAAGACAAAAAGCAGGCGCAAAAGAAATAAAACTTGGGGTAGGGCACAGAAAGAAAGTAAGTAGTGAGTACATAGACAAACAAGACTTTCAATCTGGTAGCATAACAAAAACATTCATGTGGCAGTGGTTGAGGGCACACTTAGTTCCCACTTCTCTTGTATCCTTAGAGACAAGGAAATGTCCCCTCGATATCCTAGAAGAACAACTGTCCAAGGGGGCCCATGCATCCTTTACTATCAGGTCCAAGGGGAGGAGAAGTAATTTCTGTGAAGGTGCATTCAAGGGAAGGACAGGACTTTTCTCCTTCTGATTTGTTTACCAATGGGGAGAGTATTTCTAAGTCCACTCCCCTGCTAGTCAAGATGCTCCAGCCTCGCTGGGGAAGTCTACAGGTATGAGACTTTGCCTATGGCTGTGGGGGAGGTTTGTTTATGAAGTAGTATTTTGAGTGCTTTACCTGTAAGTCAGGTCTTATTTCCCACTACTTACCAGTAATGAAGTTGACATTTTGAGCTCCACTCTGCTATTTCTCAAACTTATCTTTTAATTGATCCTAGACTTAGGAGTAGAAAAGAGGGTGTTATTTATTGGCTAACTCTAAATCCCTATGCACAGTCAACTGGTATGGGAAAGCTTGGTAAAGAAAGATTCAGTATGATTTGGAAGAAGAGCAGCTGGCACTGGCATATTTGGAACATGTCAAATGAATCCTGCTTTTACTACTGAATGACTCATTAGATTGGATTAATTAGTTGTTCCCCTCTCCAATAGCTGTGTGTGCTCTTAAGAAGAGTTTTCTAGTCTTTTCGATGTAAGCAGTTTTGCTTTGGAGAAGGTAGGCATGATGCAGAGAAAGTACTAAAAGTGAAGTTTTGAGTCCTGGTAATGCAGCTGACCTCTGGCAAACACTGTATAAACAGGGAAAAACCAAAAGATATTGTTGACTGAGTTATTGTCCTTCTGGCTCAATTTTATAATCTGCATGCATATTAGGCTCTTGAGATCCTTGGAACAGAGAAGTTCTATATATTCTGAGTTCTATATTTCTAGTCCAAATGCATTAGTTTTACTGGAGCTATAAAGCATATCTATCAAATTTCCTACTACTTTTCTTTTGATAGAAAATACCCTTCTTTGCATATATTCTATTCATAGCATAGTCTGATATTCATCTGCTCTTTGTTTCATTAATATTTCAGTCAAATTACAAGGTGCCAACATTATTTACATTCTAGTAGTTAAACATCTTTCCTGGTGAATGTTTTCCCTTTTTATTGTTTAAACAAGGTAACAAGCAGGTGAATTTAAATTCAGACTGAAGATGACTTTTATAGACATGTTTTTATTCTACTGAATGCCATATACAACTCAAGTCTAATATCACTCTCAAAATTTAAAATTCAAAGTATAGGTGAGGAAAATATTTATTCTCCATAAAGTTTATTTGCACCTTTGACTGTACAAAATCAAGTATAATATTCTTGACATTTTCTGCATAGAAAATGAGAGGTGAATTTGACATTTAAAATTATGCTTCTCTTTTCCTACCCACACCCCTACTACTTTTATGAGAGCTTCTGTAAAGCACACCAGGCTTGAGAGACAATCTTGAAAATGGCAATTTATTTCCTGATTTCATTTTTAGAATTAACATAAAATTGTGAAAATAAACACCCTAAGTCTACAAGTTGAAACTTACCCATTGACAAATAACATACATGTCTCCATTGCCAAAAATATGTTTAAAAAAGGAAAGCTTAATGGTTTCTCATTTTAGCAACCCAGATGTTTGTTGTCAGTTCATCCTATTGTTATTAATAGGAATCTAATTGATATTAATTCTTCAACAACTAGGTTAGCACTTTCTCACTGTTTAACTTCTTCTCTCTGGTTGCCACATTTAACTGGTTTTTAAATTCCCTCAAGTCAAATTTTTCATGACTTACTCATCTGTAAGGATAAGCTGTAAAGATACCAACTTTGTTTAGAAATACATTTTACCAAGCTTAAATGCTATTGAAGTCTCATCAGCTAGCAAAGGACAAGCCACACTTCATTTTTCAGATAGCTCACATTGTTTTCCATAATGCAATGACTAAAGCTTGGGATGTTTAAATGGTACTTCACAGTGCAGACGTGGTCTAAATTTCTTCGTGATTATACATATGCTGTTCTATAGTGTGCACTAATCTCTTCTGCCTTGAATGTTTTAACAAAATGGCTGAAATTTTCAGCCATTATGGATGAGTTATTCAGCAAATCTGTAAAAGCAATTCCACTTGACAAGCCTATAGTACTACTTTAAGTGATTGAATCTCTTTGATTCCACAATGGCAAGGTCCTTATTATTCTTGCA